TTTTATTTTTCCAAAATAAAAATATTAAAAAAAATATTTTAAAATAAGTAAAACTAAAATTTCTTCGCTTACAAACAACATTGCTTTTATACTATAAATTAATAATTATTTATTATATACATATCTTCTGTTTCATTCATCATTTATTATATACGTATTTATTATTCGGAACAAAATTTCAAGAGATTTGCTATATATAGGTCTATTCTTTTTTGTCTATTCTTTTTTGAACTTCTAAACTTCTTCGCGGAAACCTAGAAAATCACTTTAAATAATCCGGTACATACGTAAAAATTTAATATAGAAACTTGTATTTTTTATCTTATAAGCCGCAACACAGACTTAACGCTGTACAAGGCACAAAGCAAAAAAATTAATCATAGTATGAAATTAAGGATTTTGATTATGGATTTTCTTATGTCTTTTTTCCATGCTAGTACAGTAAAGATTACATAGCATTCCATGATGCAAAGAGAAGATTAAAGTTGACTAATTAGAATAAAAGAAGTCAGAACTTCTTTGTTCTCATTGATGAAACTTCAATCTTTAATCTTTAATCTCAATCTTCAATGTATAATCTGATTCCTAAGAGATAGCTTTCTACTCGTTTAAACTTAACAGCTTAATACTCTTTTCCATCAATGTAGATTAAATTTAATCTTCAACTTACTCTTCGTCTTTTTCAAGTTCTACAAATTAGAAAAAGACAAAGAGTAAATTGAATCGAGATGAAAGTTAATCTACGTTGGTAGAAATGGGCATTAACAAGGTTATTTTTTATAAATGTATGTATGTACACGGCAGGAATGATGTTCCCTGACGTTTCGGCGCGCGGCGTTACACACTTGTATCGAATATAGACCCTTTAATCAGAAAGTGGTCATCAGAATTTCCTCAAATTTCTTCGAGCGAGAAAGAAGAATAGGCCATCTCATTCCTCCACCAACAGCATGTATGCATGATGTATATACATAAATGATTTTTCACAATTTAACCGAGACATTAAAAAAAAATTATCGATCTCACTTTGAATGGTTTATAATTTGCATCAAAAATTCAGAAGAAAATTGTATTTTTAATTTCACGTACCGTATAACACAATATTTACAAAAAAAGATATATGCACGCGTAAAGAACAGGTTTCCACGGAAGATACTGAAAAGATGTGTATATGTAATATGGTATGAAAGAAATGGAAAGAAATGGAAAGAAAGTAGCAAATTAAAAAGATGGGCATTATTTTTATTTGTATTTTTTATATTTTTATTATTTTGCACATTATAGACACAGTTTCGTACATAATTAGACCTTGTGACCTAGAAAAAAACCAAAAAACATTCTTATAACTATAACTTAATCATATATATTTTTTTCAATCATTAAAAATTAAAAAATTTTAAAGGATTTTTGAATGATACGCAATAAATTTTAATATTATTAATATTATTTATTTGCGCAAACATTTCCAAAGTACATTTTCCAAAGTAAAACTCAAACAAACAATTTTAGAAAGTCGATTACAAACTTCAATTGCTAACTTCAAATGTAATATTAATAAACTTAAATATTAATAAATTAACTTACGTTTCGCACGACAGCTTTCGCGTCAGCTTTTAAAGGCTTTTTAATAGTTGATTTCTTCTACTGCATAAGCAGTATAAAAATAAAATATAATTAAAAATAAAATTTCATCACAAAAAACTTAAATATAAAATAAAAAATTTAAATTTTATATTAAAACTTTAATATAAAATAATAATACACACACATATACACACTCTCTATCTCTCTTTCTCTCTCTTTCATCCACCTCTTTCTACCCTCTTAAATCTTTAAGACATTTTGAGTAAGAGAGAGCGCACGCGCATAGATGTGTACACACATATATACATAGCGTGTTCAAAAGTGATTTCTTAACATAAAATCATAATTAAACCTTTGATGGCTTCTCCCGTACTTCACAAAACGTACATCCGTGAACTAAAATAACGACCAAAAAAATCAGAATACTTATCCTCGAATTGATTCTTGACATTAAGTTCTACTTTTATATCGTCTCTCAAGTAGTATAGATTTAGTTCCTTAAATGTACGACAGTATACTAAAGCTTTGTCAAACAATCTTATCGCTTCTTCTATGTTTCACCTAAATTAAAAAAATGGATTCAGAATATTTTCATTAAAACATCTTCGAATTAAGAATATTTTCATTAAAAAACAACTATCTTTATATAAGCCATGTATATGATTACAATAAGTTAACAAATTTTAAAGTACAATAATTATGAGAAACGATTGGAAACATACCTTTTTATTTCGATAATTCCTAACGCTTCATATGCAGAACAGCATTTGTCATCCAATTCTATCGCTTTCTTAAGGTATTTCGCAGCTTTATCAGAATAACCACTCCAATCAAATTGCAAAAAGGCTCTCTGTAGATAAACTAAAGACAAAGATGTATTCTCCGGATGTTTCTTTATTATTTTAATAAAATAAATGTCAGCTTTTTGGTACTGTTGAGTTTCGGACATCATCTAAAAATATTTGAAAATTTTAACAATGAATCGAAAAGTAAATGTTAATTTATCTCCTCCTATCGCTTCTTTATTCCAATTATCTTTTTTAAAAAATTATAAGTAGTATTTTATATACCTTACGATAATATTGATAACAAAATATACATTCAAGAAAGTTTATATATTTATCGAAAACTTTCTCGAAACCTCTCACTGTCGCTTCAACTAATGTTACATCTTTATTTAACATCGCAATATAATAATTTGTATAGCATTTTTGGATACATGCCATGCTAAAGTTTGGATTGTATTCAAGAACCTTTTCAAAATCGTGCTTAGCTTTGCTTAGTTTGTCCAAGCGCACATATAACTGAAATTACGAAATGTTATATTATTTTATATGTACATTATTTTATATGCATGCGATAAAAATATGCTCAATGTGCTTAATACCAGTCCTCTGTGATAGTAAATATCGCTGTAACGCGGATTTATACTAATGGCTAATTCGAAATTCATGAAAGCCATTTCTAGATCCATCAACTCTAGATGTAAGTTTGCTCTCTTTAACAAACCATTTATCTTTACATCATCGGATGAATATTCGATGTTCAGTATATATTCTAAGTCTTGGAATGCAGGATCGTATTAGCCCAAAAGTATATAAAATGTAGCTCGTAATAATAACACTTCAAGTTTAGTTGAAGGTAATGAATTAAATTCCGGACTTTCAATAATTTCCGTACACAATGGTATTACGTCATCATATTTCTTATCTTTTAACGCTTG